GGCCTTCTTTGCAACTAGTCGGATTCGCATCAATCCACGTGTGCTGGATAGGGCATCAGGCCATCGGGGCTTACATATGTACACCAAAAGTAGTTGTGACTAGTGGTGTTTAGTGGTGTTTGGTTCTCCGAAAATGAGAACGACATACATAAATGAGAATGAGATCTGAACACTTACTTCTAGAATGGAATTTTAGAATCTAACTACTATCTACTAAAACCTTGGTATCTGAAGATTCTTACTATACAAAAACAACAATCACTATGAGAATGAGATCCAAACACTCCTTATGCAAGAGAGTAGCAAGTGTGAATTCCTTTGTGCCAATACAAATAACCGCGGACCGACCCCCACCGCCCGACCCTGACGGTCGCACCCCCACCGCCGCCAGCGGCGCCGGTCGCCGCCCCGACGCCGGCACCCCACTCCCCTTTCCCCTTCCCCTCCTCCTCGCCCACAACCATCATCGACCACGCTCGCAACTCATTCACGGAGTTCCCGTCCGTGGCAAGGAGGTGGCAGCCAAACATGATCGCGAGCGGTGTGTACTAGCTCATAAGCGGCTCAGTCCGTGCTGCGACGCTCGCCAGCGCATCTCCGCTCCAGATGCCGACGGCTGGCGTGAGGTCCTATCGTATGGGTCGTCATGTGACGCCAGCGGAGCACACGCCCGCCCACACTGCATCTTCGGTGAATCGGCAGCCCCCTACCTACTATCTAGCAGACCTACGCGGGAAGTGCTTCAACTGTCTCTCCTCCGTGCACAGGGTGGCAACCTGCAAGCTACCTACACGCTGCCTCCGATGCAAGCGTGTCGGGTATCAATATTAGGGATACCCGATGAGGGGATCTGAGGACCGTGGATCACGACTCGCCTAGATAAACAAGGACGTGTTTCAGTCTCAACCGACCCCGAAGGGACGGTCTCTGTCTCGCCCGACCCTGAGGGCACGGGCTCCGTCTCGCCCGACCCCTCGGCATGGGCCCCGTGTCGTCCGACCCCAAGGGTACGAGAGCCGTCTCGCCCAACCCTGAGGGCACGGGCTCTGTCTCGCCCAACTCATAGGGCGTGGGCTCCGTCTCACCCGACAGGGACCCGTACCGCCTCCAACCACTATGGGTCTAAGGGTACGACCCCGGGGTCAAACTTCTGACACCGAGAGGGAAGCGGGCACGTCTCGACATGACCCATGGCCGTGTTAGGCCATGCCCGGGGGTTCACATCGCCAACTGTGATAGGTGTGTGGTCGCTGGGCTGCCTACTCCCCGTACGGCCATTGACAGGCACGTCGATTCACCACGCCGTCCACTAGGACGGGATGGGACGCCATGACCAGCTGATGACGTCGGGGCATGGCACCAGTGGTGAACAGGAGACCGACGTGGAGCCATCTCCGTCATCATCTACAGCGTCGCGTGGCACACGCATGAAGGAGAAGAAGGACGCAGCGGTCCCGGAGGCCTTCTTTCCCTCACTTTTCTCCTTTTCTCTCTCTGTAACCTGCGCCTTCCCCTTCACCTATAAAAGGGGAAGCAGGATCCCCAAGAAGGGGCAACGAGCACATGGCTGACGAGCTCTACAAGACTCAACTACGTTCTATTTTTCACCAGAGACATGGGAACTTCTCCCTCTCTCACCCATTTGTAACCCCTACTACAAACTAGTGTCGGTAACATGAGCAGCAGCAGCAAACTGGACGTAGGGACATTCCGCTCGAACAAATATAAATCCCTATGTCCTCTGAGCACACCATCCGGGCCAGACGCGCGGATATAAATTTACTAGCTGGTGATCCAAAACACCGATAAAGGGGTTCGGACACCTCGCACGGGACTGCAAGCGGAGGCAGACGGTACCTCCTTCTAGCTCTGGCACATCTGGTGCCACAGAAGGCCGACCACGACAACCTGACCAGGAGCGTACCTCGGACACTTGGCCACCCGCTCGACACTCTGCCCAGGGTCGCTGTGACCCCTCGTGCACTCAGGGCGACGCACCGAGCTTGGCTGGAGCTATGCTAGGTGCGGCTGCGTGCGGCAGTGGTGGGCGCCGACATCAGAGACGTCGACGACGGCTGAAGGGGGACGGCACCGCTGTGGTAGCGGTTTCTAGTGTCACCACCGACAGTGCTGCCCGTGATAGTCACGGCGGGCCGACCAGCGAGACACGCCATATTTGGGGCCTCTCCGATCTTGACCCATTGTTGCTCTCACTAAGCCCGGATGCCACGCAAGCCACACGTGATGTCTCGGAGGACCAGATGCTGGACGAGGTTGGAGCCTCATTCGCGGCCACCAGTGAGTGCACCTGCGCCATTTCGACGATGGTCTCCCACCCCGCTCAGCTGGCAACGGACTTGGTTCCACCGCCACTTGAGCACAGTCAGTATCAGGTCACGCCACCATGGGTGGCGTAGGCCACCACCTTAGGTGCTGACGCACCTACGTAGGACGAGGTGGGCGATCCTCCTGGCTTCGGTCTGACCGAGCCCACGGCGGATGCAGACTGTTCAGTACGCCGCCTTGGGAGGACTACACGGTCGATGTCAGCGACAGCTCCGCCGCACGTAGCCTCAAGAGCTTCACCAGGCGCGTGCTGAAGAAGGTCGACTCCCTGCTTATTCGTGAGCCTCCCAAGCAGCCTCCTGCTAAACCGGTACTGCCATGGCTGAGCAGGCGATTGACGGTTCAGAGCCTTTCTCGAGTACCTGCTTCCAAGCGAGGTGAGGTACTGATCATGCAGCGTATGGGCTACACCAAGGGTCCGTTAGTGCCATCCGCATGGAGCTGGAGGCCTTTGACAAGATCTTCGACGGCAACTTGACTGCACTGGACGTGCTCTTCCCGGGCGGTGGAAAGGGCTCGTTTAGGCAGCCGCGAAGGCGTAAAGCCACCTCCTAGGTCGCACCGTTGTGTCGCTTTTGGTTGTTTTCCATTTATGTAATATCGAAACTAGATGTCTTTTGCCAGGATAGTTTAACTACGGCTGTTTTAGGTCGACCTCCTTCGACGCTCTATAGAAGCGCGTTGTATGTATGTTTAAACCGTTCTACTTAATATAATGATATACAAATCTTTTACGTATTCGAGAAAAAAACACTCCTTATTTTATTCTAAAACCTAAATTCTATATCACTATCTACAATAATTATGAGAACAAGATCCAAACAGGAGCTCAATATCGCAATAGATACATTACTGGCTTTGTGAGAATTTTTTATCTTTTTTTTTCTAAGCACGTATCGTGATAGTTAATTTGGAGGGTCTGTTGGAAGATAGCTTAGGTACTAATAAAGGCTATTTTATATTATCGTTCATGGTGAAAGACATAAGTAATTTAAATATAAATTTAGTGGGTTATTTTAAATGATATTTTTTAATGACAGGGATGGATAATTTAGATACAAATTTAGAACGTTTTCTTATTGTCTTATGTAATGAAATAGGAGGGTAATTTCTAGGTGGTTATTTTCAATTATCCTTCATAATAGCATATGTGACTAATTTAGATACTAATTTAAGGGTTAGTTTATATATATTATATATTATAATGACAATGGTGGGTAATTTAAAAAAACAATATAAGTCCAATGATTATTAGTTGTGTATGATTAGAGTTTATCAAATTAAAGGTCAGAAGTTTTCGATGTTTGTGAGATTTTTCCTGATAAGTTTTATTTTAAACTTTGTTAGAATCATTCACTTAGTAATATTAAGATACTTTTAGATTAAGCTTTTGATATTTGTAAATGTTAATGCTCTTCTTTAATGAAACTTAGAGCATACTCAGGAGTTTGGTCTAGTTTACTTGCTAAACTAATACTCCTAGATCTAGCAAGTTAACATAAAAAATAGCAATATTAAATTTTGTCCTTCTTCAAAAGTCTCCTAAAATAGTTTTTAAATTATTTTGTATTGGGAAGCCTGAACTATTTCTAACCAACCAAACACTTTTTAATAGTTTTTTCGGTCTGTTCGCTGGTTGGTTTCTGTGCTGATAAACCCGACTGGTGCTGGTTTGTTATGAGAGAAAAACACTGTTGGCCGGCTAATAAGCCTCGGCTGAAACCAATAAGCGAACATGTTGTTTGTCTTTCCCTCTTTCTCATTTGGAATCATTATTTTCTTAGTTTACTCATGTGTCCAATTTACTTGATCTAGTGAGAAAACCGCTGAATGGGGCAGCTACGAAGTTTCTCTCGACTACGGAAACTTACGAATTAGAGCGGATATTTGATAACTTTTTATTTTTAAAAGAGCTCTTTTACCGAACTGATTGAGGACACTTTTCTCATTTTTACTAAAATATCAAAATAGGTAGTTATTTTATAAAACTCCTAAACATGCTTTTAGGTTGTAAAATCTAACCGATGATGTTTGTACTCTAAAAAGTTTAGAGCACTTTAGCTCAATTTTAAAGTCTAAAGTCGTAATGTGAGGTGGGTTAAAGCTTAGAGCTCTTAAATTTAGAAGAGGTGATCCAAACAAGTTATATATGGTAACAGAGTTGGTAAAAAAAGTGGTGATTACTATTACCAAGATAAACGCGGTTTGTTTGATAAGTGAAGCCGAAGGGTAATTGCCACTTCAAATTACCACAACTCGTCGTATATATACGCCGCCGCCGCCGCCGCCGGTCGCGATAACTATGCAACCCGAGACCAATTCCCACCACCAAAGGAAACCTGCGCGCAGCCATCACCGACGCCACCGCCGGCGCAGTCCCGATTCCCGCACACGCCTCTCTCCTTACCCCCGACCCCAATCAAAGCCACCGCCGAATCGCCTTAATCTGGCTGCGGTGGCTGGAGCGCGCCTTGGTGCCGTCCAGCCACACCTCGGAGCTCACGGGGAATCTTTAATGGCGTCGGAATCGCATCGCCAGCCATAGGAGCCTGACCGACTGAGGTGCCGACTGCCAACTGCCGAGGCGATCACTTGTCAACCCTCCGCTCCCCTTTTTGGCGCATTGTCTTGTTCTGATGCATACGGCACCGGAGATGAACGGCCGGGCTCGGAGGCCGGCGGCGGCCCGCTGCTCGAAAGCGACCCCGAAGAGCGACAGCAGAGTATGTGCTTCGTCAATCTCTCTCAGTTCTTTGTATGCTGTTTCTAGAGAAATTGGAAGTTCGTAGCTTTCGTTGAATTGCGCGTCCAGGAGGTGACAGTACCAATTTCTTTCTGACTTCCTCGATCGTCAGCAATTTGCTGCGGTGTCCATATTTTGTACGATGACTTAATTAATGTTGCCAGAGGACAACGATGAACTCATGAACAGTGTCATCTAGTGTTCTTGCGAGCAAAGAATGGTTGGTGACCTGGTGGCGTTTATGACAAGATCTCGACGCGTGTTGTTTGGCCTCTGCCCTCTGGGCTCTGCATAATTGCCTTTGAGAGCTACTCACACTGAGATGGAGTAGTATCTCTTCAATGCCCCTGATTCCCTGAGCCCCATTTTTTCTTTAGTTTCCCTTTAAGCTTTATCTTTCAGAGCAGAGGAATCTGCGCTTTGCTTCCGTTAGTAACCTTCTTCTTTCTCAGCTCAATGAGGCACCTCTTTTCTCTTTTAATGATTGCGCTTGCGTTCAGGTGATGGAGAAGGATCCGAGGAAGGCCGCGACGCCGGTGAAGGGATCGGCCAACGCGGGCACCAGGGTCACCATGAACAGAATTCAGTCGAGGAGAGAGCGGAAGCTCGCGCTGCAGCAAGATGTGCTTGAATTCTATATGCCTAGCTCAATTTGTCGGATTCAGTTGCTTCCCGTAGCACGTTCTGATGCTTCGCGGTGCTGAATTCCAGGTGGATAAGCTGAAGAAGAAGCTGAGCCACGAGGAGAACGTCCACCGTGCTCTGGAGCGGGCGTTCACGCGGCCGCTCGGCGCCCTGCCTCGCCTGCCGCCGTATCTGCCGTCTCAGGTTAGGACCTCAACCGCATTCTGTCGTTGTGCCTTGAATTGTGCTGAATACCTTGCTCTGAATTGTACGGCGAAGACGCTAGCTCTTCTCGCGGAGGTAGCGGTGCTGGAGGAGGAGGTCGTCCGGCTGGAGGAGCAGGTGGTGAATTTCCGGCAAGGGATCTACCAGGAGGCGATCATCTTCTCCTCCGCCAAGAACTCCCAGCTCCCCGGCGGCGAAGTTCCCGTGCCGGCGCAGCTCACACCGTCGAACCCGGCGCTGAATTCCGAGGCCTCACCGACGACAGTAAACCAAGGTTCAGACCATCCTCCTCCCAACGCTTGTCCATCGCCGCACAACGGCGTGGCCAATGGCAAGCAAACGCCAAGAAAGCCGGTTAACGCTACCTCGACGTCGCCGAGCCAGGATGACCGGTCCGGGGCAGGGAAGGAGAACCAGTCGTGCAGCAACACGTCGGGCACGAGCAGCCGCCATACACCGCCGTTGCAGCAGAAGACGGCCAACAAGTCCAGGGCGATGCCGCCTGACAGACGCAGTAGGGCTACTCCTGCTCAGCAGGTAAACTAAAAACAGCAGAGGCATTCTGTTTCTAAGTACTGTGATCCAGAAGAGTTGCCAGCCACTGTTAATTGATCAGCGTGCAGATGCTCTTTGCATCGTCCATGCAGACAAACACTGCTGCGCCTGACCGTAAAAGGCCTGCTGCTGGAAGCAACTCTGACAAAGTGACGACGTCCCACGACGACTCGAGCTCAAGCGTGCCGAACAAACTGTCGGAGGAGCTGCTCCGGTGCCTGCTGACCATCTTCTCGCGGATGGGCTCGGCCGGCGGCGGCGGCCAAGGACAAGGAGGAGACGAGGATCAGCAGGCGCCGTCCCCGTCGGTGTCCGGCTCCAGCGAGAGCTCGGGGTCGGGGTCGGGGTCGGAGGACGCGTACCCGCAGGACCCCTACGGCATCCAGGAGCTGGGCGCCAGGGACATCGGGCCCTACAAGCGGTTCCACGTGGTCGACGCCGCGTCCTTCGACCCCAATGCGCTGGCCGGCGACGGCGACGGCGACACGCCCCTCGTCCGGAGACTGAAGTGAGTGAGTTCTCGATTCGTATTATCGCAGCTGATAATTTCGGCACCAGCTCAATTATTGCAAAAGCTAGATTTGGCTGCCTGGCGAGTGGGTGGCGGTTTGACTTGAACGCGCGTATGCTGATCGGGGAGATGGCGCTGGCTCGCCTGTCCGGCTGTCCGCACTGGCAAATCTGCAGGGCCCTGCTGCGGAGGCTGTCGTCGGTTGACCTGGCTGTGGCGGGGCTCTCCCATCAGCAGAAGCTGGCGTTCTGGATCAACATCTACAATTCATGCATGATGAACGTAAGCTGCCACTCCACTCAGTCGTCGTCACCTTGAATCTCTGATCCCTGAATTCTCTCTTGGGCATCTTTCCGTTATCGGGAAGTTACATTTCGGTGACTGACTGATTAATTTGCTCACCACCTTATCAGAGTTCGCTTTAATTGGATCTACTCATTGCGTGATGGATGGGTTTTTTAAAAAGCAAAAATTCGCAATTTGGTTTGCCATAAAGCAACTATAGCCTGGATATGTAGTACAGTACTACTAGTTCTGGGATGCGTGTTCTTTAAGCCTGAAGTCTGGCATGTCCGTACACTGGCCGTGGGCAGCTCGATCGGTCGATCGCCATTAAACTTTTGCATAAAGAAATGCTTCATGTCCCCCCTAATCATTAGCAGGCGCCTAATTAACTCTTCTTTTGGAGGGAACTCTAATAAACTCTTCTAATGCTGCCGCTGCTGAGCATGCATGACCGAACTCAGATCTTTGCACTACGCCGACGAGTGGCACGCACGGTCCATGCTTGATCTGAATTTAATTTTTATACTGTACTACTCTGTCCTGCAGGCGTTCCTGGAGCAAGGGATACCTACCACCCCGCAAATGCTCGTGGCGATGATGCCCAAGGTTAGTTGCCGGCACAACTGAGCCCTTCCAGATACACGCGCGTACGCGACGAGAGCGATCACTGACAAGTATGTGTGTTTGCCTTGATGTTTCAGGCCACCGTAAGCGTTGGTGGACGCACGCACAGCGCCATGTCCATCGAGCATTTCACCCTCAGGCTGCCCTACAGCGCCAAGCAGGTGAGGCCCTGTCTGTCGCGCTCGATCGATACAGCCATGCATGGGCGTGGCAGTGATGACTTGGATCGAGTGGTTAGTTTAGTTGGACACGTACACGTACTAGTGCCCTGCGCCGCTGAACATACGACTCGTGAGCAGGTGAATCGGGAAGAAGGGGAGTTCGGGCTGGAGTGGCCTGAGCCCCTCGTCACCTTCGCGCTCTCCTGCGGCAGCTGGTCCTCTCCTGCGGTAGGTTCTTTGCATGGTCTAGCCTGCAACGGAACACGCGTAACGATGTCGTGCTAAGCTTGGTCATGCATCCCTGCATGCAGGTGAGGGTGTACACGGCGGCGCGGGTGGAGGAGGAGCTGGAGGCGGCGAAGCGGGAGTACCTGCAGGCGGCCGTCGGCGTGTCGACGCCTGGGAAGCTGGCGGTCCCGAAGCTCCTGCACTGGTACCTGCTGGACTTCGCCAAGGACGTGGACGCGCTCATGGACTGGGTCTGCCTGCAGCTCCCGCCCGAGCTGCGGCACAAGGCGATGCGGGTCGTGGAGGACGGCCGGCGCCGCGCGGGCGCCGAGCCCGGCTGCATCCAGGTCCTCCCGTACGAGTTCAGGTTCAGGTACCTGTTGGCCTCATGACGCGTAGGAGTAGTGCCGTGCCATGCCATCACGGCGCACTCAAGGTGGTTTGTGCACAGGTTTTGCAATAAAAGGATAGACTGCTGTGCTGCGATGCAGTTTTAGCCTTTTGTATGTAAAGGAAAGAACATAATTGGAGATCGATATAATAGTGCTTGTGCTCGCAAGGAACATTTTACTGTGACTGACTGACTGACTGTGCTCCATGCATCCACGGCCATGTTTAGGCCCCGTTTACATCCAATTTTTTTTTATTTTGGTTACTGTAGCACTTTCGTTTGTATTTGATAATTAGTGTCTAATTATGGACTAATTAGGTTCAAAAGTTTCGTCTCGCGATTTCTCACCCAACTGTGCAATTAGTTTTTTTTCGTCTACATTTAGTACTCCATGTATGTGCCGCAAGATTCGATGTGACGGGTACTGCGCAAAAAATTTTAAAATCTAAACGGGCCTTAGTTCACCCCAAATTCCCAATTTTGATACTATGCAAAAAGAAGATTTTCCGTCACATCAAATTTACGGTACATGTATGGAGTACTAAATGTTGATGAAATCAAAAACTAATTGCACAGTTTGGTTGTACTCTGCGAGACGAACGTTTTGAGCCTAATTAGTTAACGATGGAATAATTATTACCAAATACAAACGAAACGCTACGTACAAATGTGCTACAGTGTTTTTAGCGGCGCTAAGTTCAGGCAACTAAACATGGCCCACAGCCTACAAGCAGGGTACATCGATGCTTCTGGTGCCGAAAATGGATCATTAAACGCCAGCGAAAAGAAAAACTAATGACAGTTTGGTGGAAACCTGCAGCTTTTGCGTTTTTAGCCTAATTCCATCCCGGTCTGTTTAAGCACTGATGATTGAAAATAAAAACGGTAAAATCTACCCACGCCCCCAAAATACGAGACGGAATTTCTCTAACTAAACCAGGGCTAAACATGGCCCGCAGTCTACGAGCAGGGTTGGCAGGCTTCTGGTGCCGAAAAGCGGAAAAGACACGCCAGCCACTGCACGCTGTCTCTGCCACTGATGATTAACCTGGACCTGCAGCTTTTGCCTTTTACCTTCCATCCCGGTCTGTTTCAGCACTGATGATTGAAGAACCCAACGGTAAAATCTACCCACGCCCCCACGCCGATACAAGACGGACCAGTCCAGGAGGTAAAGCAGGCCCTCCGTGCACGGTGCACCACACCACACTTGCAGTTGCAGCACCACCAAAATTACAAGGGGGCTATTGCGTTTTTTCCCCTATTTTGAATTCTAATTATGATTTTACTCCTATTTTTTTTCACTTTATGTTTTTATCCCTGCTTTTACAAAACGAAGGTTCAGTTTACCCCTGTTCCGTGAACAGCAGGTAGACGACCGAGAGATAAGGGGTAAGTTTGTCTTTTCACAGGGCTTTTGTTAATTTTTAATTGCTTTGATCTGGATGTAGATAACTGAGTTAAGAATTGGGGTAAACGGAGCCTTCGTTTTGGAAAAGTAGGGGTAAAAATACAAAGTGGAAGAAAGTGAGAATAAAATTACAATTGGGGTTTGAAATAGGGGCAAAAACGCAATATTCGGAAGGGTAAACTGTCATCTTTCAACTTTTTAACACCGTTACCTTTGCGGTTCACGGAGTAGGGGTAAACTGAACCTTTGTTTTGGAAAAGCAGGGGTAAAAACACAAAGTGGAAGAAAATGATGATAAAATCACAATTAAGATTCAAAATAGGGGTAAGATGCAATAGCGCCATATTATAATGGCAGCTGCTGGCTGGAGTGACCACCATAATGCATGCTTAGTGGCTGCGAACTCGTGATCTCGCCGTTGTTAGACGACGACAGTCGACAGAGAAGCGTCTCCGTCGTGATACGTACTACAGTACGTAGCCCCAGATCCATGGGGGGCCACCGTCTAATAGTAGGAAGAAATGACAGGCCTTCTGTTGCCTTGTACGTAAAGGCTGACAGAGTGGCGGGCCGGTGTTGTCCCCTCCGAGTCACTCAGTCACCGCGATCACTGCCCGCTCTCAAGCAATCAAGCTCGCTCGTCTCGTACTCGTACTCGTACTCGTACTCGTACTGTACGTGCCTCCAAGGATCCCCTTCTGCTCCCACGCGCGTGCGCCGCGCGTCCCGTTCCCCGCGATCGCACGATCCAGACGCCAAGCGCCGGTGGTGCGCCGTAGCTGTCGAGCACGCACGGGCAGGCACAGTGGGGGTGCTGGAGCGGCCGCCGTTGTCGCGTTGGGGGATTGGAGTGGTTGGAGCGTCGTCTTGCGCAGTGGGGGTGCTGGACTGCTGGTGCTGCAGTGCGTGTGCCCGCGCGGGCAGACTTTTAGGTCCAGCAGCATGATTGCCCGGTGTCTTAAGCGCCCAACTAACTGCATGCTCCTTGATCCGGTCCTCTCTCCTACTACTGCTCGCTCGGCCGGTTCCTCCCGGGGGAAAAAAAACTTCGAGAAAAAAACAGTCCGGGTCTCGGAGATGGACCGGATCTTCGTGTCCGTGCGTGCACCGTGCATCTGTGACTGGACTGTGAGTGACCTACTAGGGCGGCGCTGGCTGGCCGGCTGGATGGTTGTCATCCCGTAGTCCCCCCACCTCCCCAAGAGGAGCTAGCTCATTTTGCTTTTGGAAAGACAAAAGGGGCCATGGGGATTATTATGTGTGTGTCCTGTAGTGATGGACCGGAATCCTGGAAGAAGAACTGTGGACCGGTCGATCGATCCCTCCTCTCGTCTTCGAACGAAAGGAAAAGGGGCGTGGCGATCAAATCGGGATCGTGTCGCTTTGTACTGCCTATCATTAGCCCTAGCAGGCTACCTAGCAGCTAGGTGCTTTCGATCAAGCAAAAAAGCGCTTCCGTTTCAGTGACATTTTTTGCCTTAACCTTATAAATTGTCCATCCCAAGGAAACCATATACTATAAAACTACTCCCACCGTCTCATCGTAAATTGACTTCTACAATTGTGCTAAATCAAACTAATTTATGTTCGACTATAAAATATATAACATCAAATTATTATCACTGGATACATCATAAAATATAGTTTCATAGTATACTTATGTAGTGTCATATATATGATATTACTCTTTCTTATAAAGTTAGTCAAATTTAAGATGGTTCAACTTAGGATGACTCTAGGAACTGACTTATTTTGTGACAGCGGTGCAGTTTAAGCCAACGACCAACAAAAGAGGCCGAAAACAGACTTCATGTTAATTCTCACAAGACGTGATAAGAGAAGAATCTAAATTCAGAAAATAAAAGTGACAATAATCATATATAACTGGCTTCTAATTTGGTTAACTCTAACCATCACCAATAAAAACAACAGGATGTCAATAGCTCATCGAAAATTTGGAACATCACCCTTTCATCGCCACCTTACCGCTGTACCCGTGTGCAGAAGCGGAACCAGGCTAGCAGGGGTGAAACTTTGTTAAGTATTCCTATAAAGTTTGTTAATTTACAGCATAAAACGCGGCAATTCATCTATTTTTCGTTATGAATACGAACTACACATGTAAAATCACTAAAAAAGTTGTTGAAATATACACTTATGTGTGTCATCATATTTGTCCAGCCCCCCTTAATCAAAGTTATTGGTTCCGCCACTGCCCGTGTGTCATCACCAACTCTAGAATTCACCCATGGCTTTGCACCCATCAATCACTCAATGCCGCCGACATCAACCGTGTTAGCAATCCCCTTGTTGTTTAGCACGTCTCTTGACTAGATATGTCGGTGTTCTAGATGATCATGCCAATCCTCGTCTCCTTAATGGCTTTTCTCGGAAGGCGTTTGTGGGTATTTTCGGCGAAGAATGTGTCAAATTGATCACATCGACCTGTTGATCAACCTTATCATCTAAATCTATATTTTTTTTGCATATTTAGGTTGTGTGCGACATCGGACGATCTAGCCCTTGCTAGAGTATGGGTCGAATTTAGAATCAACACAACTGAATAACAATCTAAACTGGGTTTCCTAAAAAATTCTCTTCAAACTTTATTACAACTGATTCTACAGCGTCTTTTTAGACAGGAGCGTGAGCTTGTAGTGCGCAGCAACGTATGTAGCCGCCCGCCTGACGAGCTTCCATTTCGAGAGGGTGCATCGGGCGGCACAGTCCACCCCGTCCGTCTGCGGTCCCCGCTACCACAACAAGCCTTGCCAGCTGCCACGGATTCACCGCCGGTGCCGGCGTGCTCGCCGCAACGAATTTGACGGAATTTGTCGCCCGGAGCCACGCCGTGACCACTCTGGCGAGTTCACGCATAGGACGCATAGTCACTCGGCCAAGCCAAAATGGCCAAATGTGGAAGGTCACCGTCGGTCCTGCGTCGTAGCTGGGTCAAGCAAGCAGTGCAGGCACGGATGACCTTGGAACAGGCCCAATAGAGGATAAAAAGTCCTGTTCTGTCATGGGCGTCTATTGGGCCTATTTATGGGCGTCTCCAATAAGTTTCGGCCCATGACAGAACATTTTCCAGAGCTTGGGCCGAATGCTGCGCATCGAACAGGATTTTTTGTTACATCTTCTAGAAGATTTGGGCTTACAGACCTTTCAATATTTGGGACTATATATATGTTGGTTTACATCTGATATGTTGCACGTAAGTATCAGGTGCAAACCAACCAATCAATATAAACTTGGAAACTACCAATCAGGACCACTAGATGCTGATCCAATGTATGGGGTAGAGGTGGGATTTTTTTGCGCTTAAGTCCCCCACCCGCCGGCTTTTTTTTTTTGCGCTTAAGCCCCTCACCCCATCCATTGGATCAGCATCTTATGGTCCTGATTGGTAGTTTTCAAGTTTGCACAGGTTAGTTGATTTACACCTGATATGTTGCCCGCAAACATGGATGCGTGAGAAAAGTTACGAGGGAGAACCAACCAATAATAAATGATTTTTGAGACGCTAAACAATTTCAAAAATGGCATCAACTAAAATGTTGTAGCTCTCTTCGAGCTCTACAACTTTGTTA